TAATTTTCTGACCTGTGGATAACCCCTTCAACCCCAACAGGAAAAGGAATTTTACAGAACACCTGAAACCCAGTTTTTCCAGTTATTAGTATAAATGGGACAAACTATTTTTCTTAGTGGCCAAATCCTTCCTTATAGGAAGTGCTGGCCTTTGAATTCAGTGAGGGGAGGGGGTCATGTCTGCTTTACTGCTATATTCCCAACACCCAGCATTGACTCCCTCATGCAGAAAGATTTCAATGAACAGTCAAGAAAAGAGGGGGAAGGGGAGGGAGGGACAGAGAAAGCAAAGGGAAGGAAAAGAAAGGAAGATGGAAGGAAGGAATAAAAGACAGAAGGAGAGATGTAAGAAGGGAAGTAGGGAGATAAGAAAGGGAGGAAAAAGGGAAGGAAGAAGGAGCAGAGGAGGGAAAGAGAGAGGGAGGAAGAAAATAAAATAAATCCAGAAGGAGATCTTTTCTCCTTTCCTTTTATTTGCGTCTTTATTTTTCTTGAACTTTCAAGCATCCAGCTCAATAAAATATGAATCATATCTTTTTTTAGGGCTTCCTGTCTGAAGCTATAAGATCTCCAGTGCAGTCAACTCGGCCACTAGCAACTCTCCATGGGGACCGCATAGAGGGTGGGAAGGGTGAGAGGAAGCCAATGGAAGTTCCTCTCTTCAACATCTATTCAACACACAGGAGTGTGACTGCCACCTCCAGTGTGTGAGACAACACCCCATGGAGCCAGAGACCCAGCCAGTGCTCAAGGAGGCCACCATCTACTAGGAGACACAGTGCCTAACTGGAGGTAGGATATAACACAGGCCAGGGGAAGGGGTCAGATAAAGCCCTAAGGAGGTTAAGGCAGAGGGAAATTGCTTCTGCCTGAGGGGCTCAGGGAAAGTTGGAGAGGTGACACCTGAGGAGAAACCAGCCCAAGGAGGGAGAGGGGTGGGAGGGCATGAATCTCAGGGCAAAGACAGAGGCTGGTTGCACCGCGGGCAGGACAGTATTTCCCCAAAGTGCTTCATGGGGTATATTCTATGAACCTCATATTTGGGAAACCATGGATCCCACACAATTGCGCAGGTGTCCCTACTGCAGGCCTTCTCGAAGATTTTAATGCAATTGGAGCAGAAGTGGCAAAAGATTCCATTTGGTATATCAGAAAGGACTGGCTTTCGGGTGAAAAAAAAAAACAATTTATTCACTTACTAGCTGTATTAATTTGAGCAAAATATTTAACTTTTATGAACTCCAGTTTTCTATTCTCTAGTTTTCTATTCTCTAACATAGAAGAACTGACAGTCCCAACGTCATACAGTTGTTTTGAGTAAATACTACATCAAAAGTGATAAATTCAGTGCTGGCACTTAGTTAATGCCCAATATTATTACTGCTGCTTCTACTTCTGTTATTTCTATTATTATTAATATCGATGTGCATCACGAATATAAAAATGAAGAATGTCATATACATTATTTCTTCAACGAATTTATCAGTTTTTCATCAGCTATTTTTTTAGAAATGCCAGGACAGCATATAGTGCCAAGCCTAGCACACAGAAGGAGCTTACTAGGCATTCGTGGACAGAATGGGGCAAGAACTGACCCTAGCAAAGAGCAAAGTGCAGGACAGCAAGGGAATGCTCTAAGCAAGTTGTTTCTCATTATTTCTTTGGGCAACAGGCATCTGAGATCCAGGAGTAATGACTTCATCCTTTGCTAGAAGAATGAGAGATTGAGAGTGCAGTACTGAACTTTGGGGAAACATCACCAAGAGTTTATTTTGGTGGAAATGTTTGAAGTGACTGTAACAATGAGCTCATGCCTGCTGCCAGGCACCAGCCATGAGCTGGAGCCTGCTTGCCAGGGAGATGCACACAGCCAATAACCAATTCCACCTCCGCTGGACATATGCAGGGAGGATCCCAGAACACCTACTCCAAAGACAGCTCCCTCCTCTTCAAGAGGGCATACTGAGGCACAAACAAGGAAGAAGCTGAACCAGGATCCAAAGGAAATCAGAAGCTGGAAGAGCCCAGAAAGGCCTGAGCCTTCTGGTTTTACTTGGTCAACTCTCTGGCAGGATTTTGAAGTGAATCCCAAAGAATACTTTTTCTTTTCTTTTTTTTTTTTTTTTCTTGGTCAATGGCTGCATACATTTATCTAGATAACTTCATCTGTCATAAGTCACATGCTAATCTCATAAACAGGTCCTAGAAATGAGCAAACTTCACATAAACCCTCCCCCAGAGTGCAATGCAGGGATCCTATTAAATCTCTACAGCTTCCCACTGGTTTTTGTGTAAAGAGATTCTTGACAGAAATGGAGTCTTCTGGAGTGAGAACCTGAACAGGCTTGGAATATGACATTTGCATTTTACCAAACCAGATCCTTATTATATGTCCACCTGATTTCAAGCAGAGAGTCTATATAGAGTTTGAAAAGGAAATGAGGACATTTTAAAAAGTAGTTGGAGGGGAAGATTTTCCATGGAGTCTAGAACAGAAAAAAAGACCCAAGAGTTAGTCAAGTTTTCAAACTTCAGATTGGGAGGTAGGGAGGTGCAGGGCAGACCATAAAATTCTACAGTAAGAAAGACCGTACATTTAAAAAATATATATATGTGATATCTGTATACACACATATAATGTATACACACACATATGTGTGTGTGCATACACATACAAATATATGTATCTCAATTGTGAGCCATATAAACAAAATACATGGGCCAGAGATCCTGTATTCAATTCAATTGTTACATTTCATTTGTTTTCCCTTAAATATTTTTTTCTTTTTCAAGTTTTTATTAAATTCCAGTTGGTTAACATACATTGCAATATTTTAGTTTCAGGTATAGAATTTAGTGATTCATTACTTACATACAACACCCAGTGCTCATCACAAGTGCCTTCCTTAATACCCATCACTTAGTTAGCCCATCTCCCCACCCACCTCCCCTCCAGAATTGGTACATTTCATTTTATTTTAACTGGTAAACTTGGAAGTGGTTGGAAAAAAAGCAGAGTTAACTCTGGAAATTTATCAAAGCTCAAGAAAGCTTCTAAGACCTATAGACATTTTTGTTCCAGGAACGCAGAGTTGCCCAATTCTTCTTACACTAAAAATATAACAAGAGACTGTTGACAAGGATTGCACATTTTCTCCATTGTGTTCATTTGGGGCAAGAGGTTGAAATGATCTGAATCTTGATTTGACCATATAGTTCACACAACCAGACTTGGCCTGAACATTTTACCAAACCAAATCGACACACCAAGCCCCTTATAGAGAGACCCCTTGTTATCCACAACCTCTCCCACCCCTAATCCTGCATCCTATCTTCTGAGAGTCAGAGTTCATGTTCATTCACCATGAAACAGGAAAAAACTAAATACTACACAGTACAGTTTCTGACACATAAGATACAGCAGAATGCCTGTGGACAACATCTGAAGGTCCTGGCAGGGAGCCTCAGGTGTGAGAGCCAAAGTGGTCCCTGGTCTCAAGGGCTTCAACAGGTGCAGATTAGGAGCAGCAAAGGGAAGGCAAAAGTAGAAAGAAAACAAAAAAGACAGGCAAGGAGAAAAGCTCAAAGTTTCACTAAAGGAGCGATCCAAAACTTGGAGGAAAGATTTGGATGCCATGTGGCCAACCTCCTCCTCTCCAACCTTCATTATGATGTCTGTATCTGCACATAGGGGCACCAGAAAGTGAATTAATAGTTATTAGGTTTAGAGTGAGAACAGTTCTGTAGGACCATGCTTTTCATCTCTGTTTAGATCACTGGAGAACTCTTGAGAATGGGCTTCTTTCAGCGAGACGAAGTTCAAGGCAGTTGCTGTGGGACACCCAGTGTGGTATGTGGGAATAGCAGAGATGTGGTTTCATTTTCAAGGGCTATGAGCCACAGCGATTGGGAGTAAACTGGTGTGTGGGCAGGAGGCCTCATTTTGAAATTATCTGCTGCTAGCATAAATGCATTAGTCTGGTGGATTAGGTGATGAGCAGTGGACAGAATAAAGAGGTGCAGATACTGAATAAAGAGAAGAAAATAACATTGCTTGCCTCTCAAAAGAGCGACTACACTGGCTATCAATTTGAGTCTTTTTTTGTTTTCAAGACTTGGTAGCCCAAAATCATACAATGAGCCCCTTCTGGTAAATTCATTGATTGAATGAAGGAATCACTAGATAGTACTGCATATTATTATAAAAAGAAGTCTTGCTTGACTTAAAGGAGAACCAGTTACTGACTTGGACTCCTATCTAAGAGGAATCAAATCTGGGATGCATTTCTAAAAAAAAAATATTCATTTTGCTTCTTAATATCAGGGTGCACATAGTCAATGCTGAATCTACTTTTACATTTGGTTCCATATGCTGTGCCCTAGGTAATTAAAGTATGTCTTATGGCTAATAAAAATGAAGTTAAAAAGTCAAAAACCAAAACAATGACAGGAAATAACATGTGTGTACAATATGTTACCAACACACTGATAATTTTCAAAAGTGACTTTAAAAAAAAGTATCATAAATCTTTCAAAACACAGTGATTTATTAAGCAAAAAGTCTGAGTGGCTTGCACTATTAAATTTAGCTTTTGAGTTGCTGTGTCACAGGCAGATCTTTTGTTCTCCTAGGTTAAATTTAGCATCCTGGATTTTGTTTTTTTCCACTGCAACATGTTTTATCATCACACAGCCAATTTTCTGAGCTGCTCAGGAGAAATGCTCTAGAATTTCACTCTAATTTCTCTTACTGGCTGAATAATCTGAGAATCAAATGTATCGAATAATCCAACAGTGATTTATTTCCCATCTTCTTCTTTGCCCTTTCCCACCTATATGGCTTTTTCATAAAATAAAACTTCCCTAGGCATGGGATGAAATGGAAAAAAAAAAATGTGGTGGCCAGAGGAAAACCATTTCAGAAATGTGTTAAACAAGTGCAAGCAATAAATTGAGCTTAGGAGGGAAAGGTGGTTAGAAGAAAAACTGAAAGTACTGACCTGAGAGTCAAGCTGATTGGAGCAAGGGTGAAAGCAGCAATTTGGAGGATAAGCAGAAAGGAAAAGGGATAGCAAAAGAGAATAAAAGGAAGGAAATGCATTAGTTTTAAAAATACAGCCAACAGATGTTATATTAGCAGGTTTAATAACCAAATGAAGGACAATAAAGCAACTTTTATCTGATATTACCCCAAAAAGCCCGGGGCACACACTGTAAGCTGTTCTACTAAATATCACACATAAAAAAACAGTATCTGCTCTCCTGCTTTATCACTGTAAGCATGGGTGTGAACCAGAGGTGCGCTCCAGCAACCCAGTAGCAGAATTTTCCCTTTTCTGGAGGAATACTCATAGGGAAAGTTCCTATCTGTGTCCATACAAAATTTTATTATTTAATAAACTGAAATGGAATTTACTAAGATATTAGAGCTAGTGGTAAGCACTGATGTCGGAAAGATTTTATTTGAACCAGGAAGTTAAATGGTTATATCTTATGAGATATTCTCCCTTCCTCCTTGAAAACCAAAAGGACCTGAACAATTTAGCTTTCTGTTCAAAGATTTCCATTTTAGATGCTCACAAAGCACTGCACCTCACAATGATCAAAGACACTGTGCGCAGGGCTTCGAGTGAGGTGCTGCCTGCCTATCAGCCTCCCAAGAGAGGAGAGGGCAACTTCCAAAGCTGAGAGTAATTTTTTTTTTCAGTTGTGAAAATGAGGATCATACTTCATCACTGAAAATATCCAGATGCTTGATAACTTATTTGTGCAAAAATATTTAGCATGCCCTTCCAGTTAGTCAAAATAATAAAGTCCCAAATCCAAGCAAAAATTAAAAGAAAAAAAAAAGTCATGATCTTCTTCAAGCTACCACAGGAGCACACACTGGGCATTCATTTTGCGAACCTATATAATGCTCTTTGTGAAAAACAAAGTGGATGAACAAATATGTTACCAGCTATCTGCTCAAGGGGACCCCACCACTCCATACTATTAAGAAGTAATTTTAGGGGCACCTGGTTGGCTCAGTAAAAGAGCATGTGACTCTTGATCTTGGGGTTGTGAGTTTGAGCTCCTTGTTGGGTGCAGAGATTACTTAAATAAATGAAATTTTAAAAAATTTTTGAAAATAAGAAGTAATGTTAAGCATCTCACAGAGGAAGGAAAAACAAAACAAATCTTCAGGAGAAAGCTTAAACAAGAACATTTCAAATGAAAATAGTGTTGATCATAATGATAAAAATCAAAGAGAAAATTCAGGATTAAACACACAGTGAAAGCATCGGTCCAATAATCCCTCACGTCTGAAATCCCCCTGCACAGTGTTTCGTGATCATAAACACACAACTGATTAAAAATAAGTTAGATCAGGCCATGATCACTGTGGGGACTTTGGCCCCAGCCGTTGCTTCAAATTCTTCTGGATCAGAAAGGTATATCAAACTGAGGTCCATGGCCAAGCTTTAGAGAATCCTAAATTGAAATAGCAATTAATTGCCTTTTCCAAGGACTCCTAGTTTTCATCAAATTCCCAAGGGCATCCATGACATCCATGACCTTCCCCAAAGGGTTGCTAGGGATGGTGCAAAACTATCTGTTACTTGCTTCACTGAAATTTCTTCAAATGTTTTACCAAACATAAAGGGCTATTTCTCAGCAAGAAGAGTTCATATCAGAACAGATAGAACTGGTATTAGGTTTCTTCGATGTACCATGAGACTTCTAGAACATAGTACCACTTTTTTTTTAAATAAAGCTTCAGTTTACATTTCGTTAAAAGTGTTCTAAAAGGCATCAAAGAAATTATGTCATCACATTAAAGGAAAAATTCAGAAGGAAAAATAACAGTCTGTTTCTCAACCTTAGATAAGGTGCTTTAGGCATCTAAGATGATTTCTCAAATGTCCGAATGTCTGATGACATTAGTCAGTGACCCAGATAATTAAGTGCTCCCTGTTTTCTATTCTGATGTTATGTCTTAGGAGCAGAACCCCAAAGGACACACACTCTTCTCCACAGTGGGGAAGGATGTGATCAAGGGCTTGATTCGGGCATTCCCTGTCCCCTAGACAAATACCAACAAACCCCTACCATATTTAGGATAATTACATGAATGGTCACCTGACTGATACCTTCCCATGGCTGAGATGCAGAAACCTAGTGACAGCAGGTCTTGTTTGACAAGAGATCTGTTAATCTCTCTCTTTCCCCTAAGGCAAAATTAATTCTGAAACTCTAAATAAAACTCAGAGCCCTTGATAGGCACTGACACAGAAAGACCACATATTTCACTCCCTTTAATGTTTGATTACCTATCTGATCACATAGCAGACATGGTATCTAGCACTAGTGATCAAATAAAGACGTCAGCCTGATTTGGACCAACTCTTAGGCGTATGCTCAAGGCCCTTCACCCACCTTGTGTCAAACTTCCCCAGAGTCCATTCACATGCTGTCCAAGGCAGAAGCTCCCTGTTGAGCCATAAGCATCAAGTGCAAAAATTTATAGGAAAAACTGCACATGGGGACCACACTGGAGCAATATGCATTTTGAAAAGCAAAATCTTCAATGGCTAATGTAAAACATCACTCACGTGGAATTTAAGAGGTAAATGCATCCATATAAGTGCCAGGCATATGCTATTTGGAATGTATACATTGTGAAGAAAATAAAAAATGGGAAGATTAGCAGAGTAGAAAGCAAACAAGAATTGCCCTCTGAGAGGGAAGTAGGCCAGCGTCAGTGCCATTTGAGTTATGCTATTCCTAACCCTGAACCTTTTGTTGCACATGACTGAAGTTCTGGAATATTTTAGAACACTCGTTGCTTTTAAAAAGAAGTCTTTTCACTCTGGTAGGTCACATTACAGACCAGAGACCACAAATTTATTTCAAGTTCAATTTTTTGGTTTTCAAAATCACAAACTTAATTGCAAACACTCCTCCATGACTCCAAAAGGGAGATATATGTCACACTGCTAAGAAATCTTTAGTTCCCAACATTACAAGGTAGGAATTTTGTAGTTTAAGCCAGAAAATGGAGATATTGCCCAATTTGAAAAGGGCTGCCTGACAAACAAGGAAGATGTTTTGGTCAGGATACACATGGAGCCCAGCAGATACTGCTTCAGGAAGGCAGGCCAAAGTTGAGCTCTCCTTTTCCCAAGAAACTTCCCCTCTTACTTTCCAACCCCCCCAACCTCCTTTGGGGCCTGGGCTGGGGCTGGGTCTCAGACATTTCCCAGACTATGTTCTGCTGCTGGACCCAAGACACAGGCAGGCAGAGAACTAGGACAGACTCAAGTCTCATCACACGTTTTATGAATTACAGTGCCTGGGAAGCATCAGCTTTAAGGAAAGGCAAAGGCAGAGATAAAGAAAATGTGCAGAAAGTACATAAAGATAAATGCCTGTAAAATCACTGTTGTTTTAATGCATTCCATATTGAGGATATAAAAAATGTGAATATTCTCGATGATTTAATGGCACTAGTGTCCAGCTAAGACCTGTTTCTCCAACTGGATGACTATGCTATTTTTATGCAAATATTTATAGTAGCTGATCCTGATTTTTCAGTTACAGTTCTGGGGACCTGGGTTAGCGCAGAAAAATGCCTTCAAAATGTGGGGCACATCACTTTCTCTCATGAAAACTAATAAAGATGAGACAGATCTCCTGGGGTCCAAGAGCAATGCTTCTCTCTCTGCAGGCTATGTGACTGTTTAGTGCTACTGGACTAACTTCTTCCTTCTGGCTCATTGTTGGACAGGATTGTTCTCAGTCACTAACCTGTTAGACCTGGGTTCAAATTCTGACTTTGAATCTTACAGACTCTGAAAGCTTTAGGAAGTTACTTAATCCGTATAAGTCATAGTTTTCTCATCTATAAAATGAAGATAATGATACTTTCTGTGATGTGGGTAAGATTAAATGGTATATAGTACTGCAGGTCAAGTGCTCGGCAGAGTACCTGATACACACTGTGAGCATAAAATATACATAATCTATTACTGTTATTGTAATTACTATTATTAATATTATCTAGAGCATAGATAATATTATGCCCTTCAGAGGCTCACAGCTTCTCAGAACAGTAGACTAGGAGTCAGGAAACATATGTTATAGTTTTGCCGAATTCTCATCACAGGACCAATCTCCAAGAGGTAATTCAACCTTTCAGGGTCTCAGTTTTCTCACCAATAAAAGAGATGTGACGGTAACATCCCTGTGATCTCACATTAGCTTTTTAAGAAAAATTTTGGTCCTAATATATAATTCCAAAGTAGACATGTAGATACATCTAAAATTAACAGTGTTTTTAAGAACCAATAGACAGAACATTGCCGCATTTTAAAATTAAAATTAAGCCTTTAAGGATTTTAATTTGTATACTTATCTCAGGAAAAGAAATTCTTGATTTAATCACTAAAATTGGTCACACTGTATAAAAATCTGGTTATCATCAAATTAATACTAAGATTTTTAAGTGAAATATTAATTGATTTAGAGTTTGAATATATTAAATACTATCCTTGAAAATGTTGAAAATTTGAGAACTGACCTATCCATTTAATACACGGCCACTTACTATTGAGAATTTATGGGGCGCCTGGGTGGCTCAGTCGTTAAGTGTCTGCCGTCGGCTCAGGTCATGATCCCAGGGTCCTGGGATCGAGCCCCACATCAGGCTCCCTGATCGAGCCCCACATCAGGCTCCCTGCTCGGCGGGAAGCCTGCCTCTCCCTCTCCCACTCCCCCTGCTTGTGTTCCCTCTCTCGCTGTGTCTCTCTCTGTCAAATAAACAAATAAAATCTTAAAAAAAAATATTGAGAATTTATTTGTTTTAGCATTCAACTATTCCTAATGATGTAACTATCCCACCAGGACTTGGCACCTGAAAAGGATGATACATTTTAAAAGATTGTTAGAGATTCACTTCTAACAAGATTTAAGGTCACAGAGCCGGCACAAAGCAGAAGCAAAATTTGAACCCAGATCTTTCTGTCAATACAGCCCATGATCTTTCCACAGGCCAGAGAGAGCTACTCCACTTTTGTCTTAAACTTCTGCCGGGTCTCATGAGTGTCTTGATCAGAGCTGGCAAACATTCACTGATTTATTCAAAATTTGTTGATCTCTTCCATATGGACTGAATCTAGGAAAGACAAATTCTGCCTTATTGCTGAACCAATAAGAAATCCTCGGACATAATGGAGTTACGTTATTCAGAAATTCTTTCCTTATATGAAATATAGGAAAAAGCATTGATAGAAAGCTTAATTTTTAGAGTCTATCTTATACATAAATGCAATATGGATACGATTTATCTGAAAATCTAAATACTCTGGAACCCTGATATAACCTTCTTTGTTTTTAGACAGAATTTGCTATCAGCTAGGCCTGCCTTAGACCCTATTCAAACATATTTATTTAACAAATGCTATAAGGTCCTCTTAAAAGATACATCCCAAGATGAATTTGTTGTGGTGTGCCAAAAAACATCCAAAGGATATGAGCTCCTTTCCCTTTCTCCTATCTTGAATGAATTGCCAAATATATTCTTTGCTTGAAACAAATCTAAACCACAAATGCTTGTCTTTCATGGGAAAAAACAAACAAAAAACAAAAAACTAAACTTTCAAGTAGTCAGAGCCTCAATTTCTCACACACTTTGCTGGCACACATGCTAGATGAGGGACATCACTCAAGAAACTTGGCCATTACTTTCTTAAACACTTAAGAAGTACATAACCCCTCAAAAGATAAGCCAATTGCCTTCTTGAGTATCCCACAGAAACATAACATCATCCCTAACAGGTCCTATTCCTCATACATACCTCATTTCCAACTTGAAAATGAATGTGCATTCCAAATCCACTACAACCTGTGATGGGCAACTAAGCAATCCATGTTCACTCGCTGCTGACAATTCACAACATGACTGCAAAATTTACCTCTCAAGTTCTGCAATCTTCTTGTCCTTGTCATTCTTTTCATTCTCCACCTCCTTGAGGATCTCCAGCAACCGGTCAACTTCCGCTTGGGCCTTGCCACACTCATCACGGTAGTAAGATGCCTCTTTATCAAGTTGTTTTATTCGGTCTGCAAACTCGGGGTTCATCCTGGAGTCATCTTCAACATTATGAGCCTTCAACATTATATTTTTAAAGAATGTAGTTAAGACAACAACTTAGAACGATAGGTAGTGTAGTAACCAATGGCCCAGAAATTATCTTTGGAGAAAAAATAATAACCATCAAGAATTATGGGTATACTGTCAGTTAAAAGGCAAAATGGAAAATCACACATTTCAGCTACCTTAAAACAATGCTGATTTTAAATTTATTACAGTTTCACAAGAGAGTTTCTTTTATTGTTAATATTTTGTTGCATTAAATGTTACTACTTTTGGGGTTTTTTTTCCCCCACCAAGAAATGGGGGATGGGTGGGGGGAGACACCGTGATATCTTTATTCCTGTTGCTTTGGCAAGCAGAACTAACACAATTCAACTCCTCAGTTAAGGAGGTGATTCATACCAACAGCTTCCTTTTCCAGTAGAGAAACTGAGATAAAACAATATTAAATTATTTTTCCAAGAACCATTGAGGGTCTATGTAAAGCCAGGTAACATGTAAAAGACTGGTTGACTGATCACCGAACACCATCCCACTGAGAAATTTCAGCAGAAGATGTAGGTTGAAAGAAAGACTTGCAAGTGAGGAAGCGCTTTCCAGCTAACAGTCATACCCATAAATTCTTGTTCTCTTTATTAAATTTAACCTGAACCAGGAGGAAGATGAGCTAATTCATGAACAAGCACACAGACGAGAATCTGCAAACACATGCATGGGTGGGTGGCAGCTTCTCACACAAGAACACACACAGGCAACAACACAGCAAAAACACTGCAGAATAATTTGCAGCCAAAGTATTTGTGATTTTGTGTGTCTGAAAGTGTGTTACGGCTTTTTTTTTTCCCAAAAGAAACTTTTGGCTGAAATATTCTCAGACAGATGGAAATAACACTGCACTGCAATGTTTTGCCTACCCCTTGTTTCCCATTATTCCTAATTGACTTCTTCAAAGAGTAGGCAGGGAAAAAACAAGTAGTTTAACAACAGTGCACATTCAACAGAGAAAGTTCAGAGAAGTCATATATGTATGTATCTCCAAAATCCATGTGTGAAATCATACAATGTTAACAATTTATTAGGACTTAAGTTGTTCTGCTGTCTTGCTATATAGAACAGATGTTCATTGTGTTTTTATATCTTTTTGTTTAATTTCAGGGAAAAAACAAGGCAAGCAAGCTACAGCTACTGTGGGGTTAAATGAATCATGCATGGTTAGAAAAATTAATAGTAATAAGTACTACTGTTACAAGGTTGACAGGTTTTGCAATGATTTAGTTGAAAAAATTAAAAAAATTAGTATAAAAATAAATTTCTTATTTATGACAAAATAATCATTTTTAGAATAATATTCTTGCATGTAACATATTATTTAAGCATGAGGATAGGAGGAAAATAATATGCTTTCATGTTCTTTAATCTAAGATTTCCTTATTCAAGAAATAAACTCAACTATGCAAAAAGAACTTGGAGAAATTTATCAATTCAACACTACTATCATGTACTGGCTTATTCCCTTTTACCAACATTTCTCAGAAAGCATTTATTTTTATTTACTTAGTGTATATATTAGATTTCATTCTAATAGATTAGTGAGCTTTTTCAGTATAATTAAAATAATCTGAAAGAGAATCCTGAGCTAATATGCCTTTAGAAGTTTATTCATCTAACAATATTATTTTAAATTGAAGTAATGAATATTTAAATTTGTTAATCTCCACTTTTAAAATGTAGAGTCAATATTCTACTTTAAAAGAAAATAACTACTCCATATACTTATTTCTATTTGTGATAAGAATCAATTCATTACTCTTGTATCAGAAAAGCACTGAAAATATAATTTTAAAAATTCCTAAGAAAAAGAAAACAAAATATTGATGTTAATTCTCTTCCACTTTTAGGCCATATTACCATTATTTTATGGCAACTAAAAAGTTTTTTCATGACATTTTCTCAAACTACCTGACCAACAATATTAAGATCTTTAAAAAAGAATTCATGAGCTGAGCTAGAAACACACAAAACAAATATAAATATGCCTTGATTTCGTGTTTCTGATTTGAGTTAAGATTCCTTTCTTGACTCTGATTTAAAGATTCACAAAGAGCTAACAGTTCAGTTAGCCACTGTGCTTTATTTTGGTTGTTTTTATTCTTATGATTATTATTATCATTATTTTTAGTAAATGGGCACATAATTACTAGTTGTGAGACCTAGCTTCTAAATCTAGCCCTGTGTCTTATGACTACTACGGGCAAAGGAGCTAGCCTCTCCAAGGACAGCAAAAGCTACCATATAACAAACACGGAGAAGGTATTATTCACTTGTGTTCTTATTATGAGTATTATTTTATGATATGCATCCCACCAGTGGGGCTTGTTATACAACTAAGTTAATAGGTCTATTTAGTTTCTCATCAAGATACTACATATATCTTTAGAGAAGCCTCCCTGCTAGGCTTACAGAAAAAGCAGTCTACTGGTGAATGGGTAACTGAGCACATTATTTTAGCTCTGGGAAGAGAAGATAACCCAAGGCCAGCTTTCGGTACTATGTGAAATTAGGTGGGTTGGTAGTCTTTTCAACCGAACAAACGAATATGGTTAAAGGACTCATAGGATGTTTAGAAGTACAGAAAGCCTAGGAAGACATGCCTGAATCTAGACCACTGTTGGCCTCATGTGATATTTAAGTTAGATCATGTTATTAAAACAGATCATAGCCAAGTTTACAGTTAGCCTGGTATCTCTTAGATAATACTTGTAGGTGCTAATGATTCTTCCTCTTAAAAGGAATAGGCAACCACAAGAATACCTTTGAGTGAAATACATCTCCATATCAATGATAGGTGCCAGAATTCCCCAAAGGGTTATGAAATAAAGGTGTAAATAGATACCATTTAAAAATTGTTAAGTCAATAGAAAGCTTTAAGAAAGAGTCATATAGAGATGGATGAGTAACAGTTGCTTCTGGGTCATCGCTAGTGCCCATGTGAAGACTCAAGGGAGGAGAGTTTCACCTGACTGACAGCTGGTGAGTCCCTGATCCAACCCCAGTAGTGGGGGCAAAAGTCTCCACAGAATTTATAAAAGATATTGCAGGTAACCACCTCTATTCAGCTTGAATCATAACTTTTCAGAGGATGGGCTGAAATTGTTAGCAGTGTAGCATGAGTGTGTTATACTATGATCTACAAACATGAGGGTTATACTATACTAAAGAAATATAGGAGGAAATTGCGCTTAGAAAGCAATGCTCCCTTCCAAGTTATAAGGCCAGAGCCTCCTCTAAAAATGAAGTGAAGGAAGCACTTTGTTAGCATTTAGCAATGCTCTTGCCTTTTCAAAATATAACTTGGGTTCTTTAACCTAGAATGGTAGCTCCTGATGGGGATTAAAAGTAGATAACAGAATTGGACTTAATATACTTTAGATATATAGACTTAATATACTGCAGAAGAAAATAATATATATATATTTGAATAATGATTATCTGAACAAATTCCTACCATGGCATTCTGACCCATTCAAAGTTTAAACTAAAAATACACAGCAATTATTTCCCCTTATGGATCTGTTGACTTGAAATTAGCTCCCCCAAAAGGTGGGGAAGTGACAGCCCATTTCATTCTAAGGCACATCAACTTTGTCCCCTCTCTTCATTAGTCAGGAAACTAACTCTTGAAAATGCAGATTGATGTGGATTTAATGGTTCTAGAAGCTACTTATTATAAAAATAGGGAAGAACACTGTCACTTTCAAAGACATCCACCAGTCATTAAAACCAAAAAAAAAAAATATATGAATGAGCATTCTTTTCTTAATGTAGAGATTTAATTTTGCTGATTAAACCAGTCAGTTTATAGGCAAATCCAGGTATTTGGTTATGCCTTTAACATATTTCTGGTAACTTTTAGAGCAACTCTCAAGCATCTCACAAAAACACAGAAAATTGGGAAAAGAGTATTTCAGAAATGTCCATATTGCATATTAGATCAGTAAGTTCTGAGAATCCCCCAATTATGTTTTCCTACATTTCCACATGTAAGGAAATTTCCCCACAAATGGGAATAATCAAGACAAACTTTGGAGCCTCACTGATGTGGGCAAGCCTTGGAATTTTGATGTGAACTGACTTTGAAAGCCTGAATCAAGCACAAAAGAGAAATCTGGCCATGACTTAGGACAAGTAGTACGTAACAATGCCTAGTGGCTATTTTAATTATAAAATTTAGAACTATTTCAGGAAATAAGGCAAAGCTTCAGGTTAATATTGTATTTAAATTAAAGTTAAGAGCAAAAAGTGACTTAAGCCAAACCAGGGATTGATAGTATCAATATGAAAAATCACAAGTTTATTAATAATTCTCTTGTAAAGGTTGGACGTTGATTATTTTCAATAAAATTCTAGTTCATCATTCCAAGTGCCTAGAAAGGAAAGCATTAACTTTGGCCCAGAAACCTGCTGTGAAACTGGGCAGGGAATATTCAATTATAATATTATATAGCATTCTTTCTTTGAAATGGGGCCTAACGATCTAAAGAAGTCATTTCTTTCAAAATAAACAAATGATTAGTCATGATCATAAAGCACAAGCAGAACACTAACTAATGAGTCTGATGGTTTTTTTTCCCTGCTGCTTATGGGTTTTAGCAATAATTTGTTAAATTTATGCACAGTGAAAATATGATTCTTGATTGCAGCACTTTGGGGGGTTTAAACATTCCTTTCATATCTGAGCAGCAGAACAGGGCATATAAACTACTTTAGACATTGTATTTTATTTCAATCTTCTAAAAGAAGTTCCAACCTTCACATAATTCTGAGCTACGAACAAACCTTACTTTTAAAAATAAAGGTTTTAAGGGTGATTATAGAACTTCAACATATTATAAAATTTACATTTTATTTTAAATCCAATTAATTAATACCAAATATAAAAGCTGAGCCTAAATAGTACATTCAGAATCTAATAATGACGAATCTTGGATTCTTACACTACTTAGTTCTAAAGG